TTAGGCTTTTGCATAATAATATGATTCGAATTGGTTTGTATATTTAGGAGGCAAGATTAGTGTTCCTACGATATCCTTAGTATGCAAGATTAGTATTTATTGATGCAACCTTAACCAAAGAAAAGTTTGTCGCCTAGAATGAGTAGCCAATGATGTGTTTGTGTTTTCTTTGTCTTGTTTTATTTTAATTTTGCTCGGAGTGCAAAAGTTCAAGTGTGGGGGAATTTGATCAGTGCATTTTGATGCACATTCCTCTATATTTATACTTATGCATTTCTATGGTTTAGTTTGGTTATTTTTCCTTTTTATTGTATTTTTATAATTTATTTTATTTTTGCACTTATTTATTTTTCGTACTTTATTTTCAACTTTAGCAGCTTTCGCGAATAAATTCATAACTTGAGCTTCAGGAGTCGGAATGAGGCGTACTACCAATCATTGGAAAGCTAAGAGAAAGAGCTACAATTTTCATTCAGAAGTCGAGTGCTGAATCGGACTGTAGCAGGGCCATAAATTTCGTTGAAGTTGCAGCTTTAGAAATATTTCTTGTTTTGGGTCATTTGTAATGGGCTTGGGTTATATTTTCGACCCAGTTGGGTTATGAACCGAATCCTTGTCCTTGCTATACCTAATAGCCGCTACAATAAAAAAAATTACCTTTGATTATTCAGGAAAATTACTTTTGGCTTTTGTACGAATTTTCATGGAGAACTAATTCATCTTGACAATCTGTTGTATTCAGGTTCTGACACCTTGAGGTTATAATAATTATAATTCATCTTTTATTTCGTTCAATATTAATCTATGTTCTTGTATGCTTAATTAAAATTGCATATAGTATATTGATTTAATTCGATTGATTGTATGATCCTAATCGTAGTCACGTCAACGTTTGCTTAATTCGTTACCGTGTCTGATTAATTCATGTTTGCTTAATTCATGAGGCTTAATTTTGTTTGCTTAATTCGGATAATAGGAACTAACATCACACTATTCTCATTGCGCTTGCCATTGAGTTTGTACTCGAATAGGAATAAATAATCCGCTTAGGGAATTGGAATTACGATAGCCGATGATAGGTAGGAACCGAATCAGCAGATTGACTTTTCAGCTTATTTTGATAATCACTTATTTTGTGTTATAAATCGATCCTAAAACCAACCCCCCATTCGATTTCTATTAGTTTATAAAATCAAGATTCCTTGTGAGAACAATATTCGAGTTACAGTTGTCGCTATATTAGCGTTTTGCAAAAACACTCGCTTTGATCCGCGCGCGACAGCGGATCATGAAGCTTGTTGTAGAAGAATCACTCTTAAGTCTTAGAATCTAAGTCTTGGAGTCTTCAGAACTTGTTCTATCAGAACCTGGTCTTCAGAGTCTTCAGCACTTGGTTGTAAGAACTTGTTTTTCTTCAGATCATCAAAACATATTCAGCAGAACCTTGTCTTCATAATCTTCAGAACTTGTAACACATAGAAGTAAAGATTTAGAAGGCCTCCAAAACTTAACCACAAAGTCACGATCAAAACCTCTTGTACTAATGTTCCTAAGACACGTTGCATAAGACGTATTCAGAAACTTGACTTCAACTATAACACGTAACCACATGTTTTCTTTCAGAGTGTTTATGCTCAAAACCTGATGACGTCACACACTTTGTACCAGAGTCAAAATATTATAGCAGCAACTACACACTAGAATGAAACCATTAGATTATATAATTATTCTCTATGATATCATGTAATGTTATCATCAAAATCCCAAGGTCAGATGTATAAACACTTCTTGTTCTTACATATAGTCCTTGTTGAGGTGGTCTTTCCTAAATCTCTCATACTTGGGTCTTTCATCATCACAAGAATCATTTGGGTCATAAATGTTCAATGCATCACTATAGTAATCATCTTCATCCATTTTCTTATTGGGCCTACATAAAAGCCCGCTAAGACTTGCATCTTCATTGATAGGAAATGTTACATCAATTCCTTTATAACCATCAACAAGGGCAATAGCTATATCATCTTCACTATCATCTAACCCTTCAACCACCTCCTCTTATAACCCATCCATTTTCTTCACCTCATTAACACACTTAGGTTCCGTATCCTCAGACTCCATGTTTTCCAAAGAATGATCCATAAATATATCTTCATTAATAGCCATTACACTGAAGTATGAAGCGAAATCATATGCATCGTCATCTTTTCTTATCATAATAAATCCATCTTGAATTTCTAATACATTTTTCCATAACCTAAAACTACCATTCTTATACCCCCACCTACTCACCAACTTGTCAATGATATCCATTGTCCAATTCGCAACATGTAGCCCAGTTACTGTCGAATCACCCCCCCCCCCCCCCCTCCCTCTGTAAATAATTTCATTCAGATTAACCCTAATAAATTCACCCCCATGGTGAAAAGTAACATTAAAATATTGCGAATCTTGTGAAGAAAGCATACCCAGTTATCAAAAACTCAGATTTCCCAAAAAACATACTCAGTTACCTTAATATTACTAGTTAACAGTGAAGAACTTTAAAAATCAACTTACCTGAGACATTACAAGCTTCAATGTCTTCGATTATATGTTCATATTCGTCTTCGATTATGACTGTGTGATCCTTCGTCTTCTTCACATATGACTCTTCTTCGCATGAACCCTAACTATTGAAAGGGATTATTTGAAATGTATATATCCAGTAAGCTACATATTGAATAAAACAAAATGACATGTGTGTAAATAATTATACCACGTGGAGAGAATTTGAAATAATAGATGAATCTTCCATGCCACTTGACATTTGGGGGTTATATGAGGAAATCTAAATAAGATAAGGGGGAATTAAAATAAATTTACATAGACTAAAACCTAAACTCGCTAACATTATAGGGGGGTTGTATATCTAACCTATCATTTAAAACTAAAATTTAATTAAAACGCACCAACAAGAGTTAATAATAATCATTAAATTTTTATAAATATTTGATTTTTTTTCTTTAATCACATTTAAAATATCATTTGCAAATGGCTGTGATGTATTGATTATGTAAAATATTTTTAAAAAGCAATAATACATAACAATTATTCTCAAAAAGCAATGTTTTAAAAATCAAACCGGTCATCAAATCGATGAAGGTATTGGGTCACTGGTTTATTGGTCGAACCAATGGGTCATTGGTCGAACTGCATGACTAAATCAGATTAAATTGGATAATTCGGTTGGATAAATTGGTTTTTATAACAAAACTATATATTTATTAAATCGGTCAAAACAGATGACTCGGTCTCTAAAAAATATCACAACGCCTACAAAATTTCAAAATTTTAAAATATAATAATTTGTATGTTCATTCTTTAAATTCAAATTCGAAATATAATCATCATTCACAACAAAATAATAAAAAAAATACAAATTTAAATAAATTTTGAAACAAATCTAATTACAAATAAAAAAAATTATTCAAAATAAGTTTTGAATAAAGTTTATTATATTTTAGTTTTTATTTTTTTTTATAAAAATGTGTTGTTTTGTCTGAGAGAAAAAATATATATTATTAGAACCGTTGGTTTTCGAAAACCGTTGGTTCACTGATTTTTATCGATTTTGATCGGCTTTGTCTAATTCTCACCGGTTTAATAGCATATTTAATTCAACAATCAGATCAGACCGGTAATCCCTTCAATTCCCAATTCGACCTGTCCGACCAACCAATTCGATTCAATTTTTAAAATACTATTTATAAACTTTGATTTTCTATAAATAAATATGATTATGATAAAAATTTAAATGATTAAAAGCATCCTGAGGCACCTAAAATACCAGGACATTTTTACCAAAAAATAAAATAAAATCAGGACACTACGAGAATAATATTTTTTTATGATAAAATGTTTACTATTAGACATCCTTTCATTTTTATTTTTTATTTCACCCCCAAAATAAATAACTTTTTTAGTTATTTGCTTTTCCTTTTTCTTTACAATATTTCTGATCACGTTGGTGGAAATCAACTTCCATTTCCCAGGTACCATAACGATTTTCATTATGTATGTGTATATTATATTTGAGTAAAAATTAAAATTGATTGAATCTATATCTATTATCACATATGCTTCATTTCCATTTCGTTGAAGAAAATGTGTTGTCTAATTTGCAATGCATAATTTTTGGCATAAGAAACACAGAATGAACATTAAATAATTTAATGTAATAAAAGTCAGCCATAAAAATCAACATATGCATGAAATGATTGAATTTCTATCATGCCAATTATGTAATAATTCCAAGTTAAAAATAATCGCAAAATGATGAATTTTCATTGAATGTAAAACTGCAAAATTTAAGGATTGTTCCAATGGTAGAAGGATGATCAAGGGACACTTGAGGGAATTATCTATGTCATTTGGGAATCAAATTTGTCCTGAAAAATCTCGAAAGCTCCAAAGAACCAAAACAGGTGCATATTGTTTTGTTGTCAACATGCATGCTTGTCTGTTACAGATGATTTTTAGTACCAGCAATTTGTAGATTCAAGTGGACGTGAGCATAGTAGTCTAAATTTTTGAAGACCCTGACAAAATAATTAGAGACTCTATTTAACCCTCATTTTAATAGTAACAGTGATTTATGAGGCCTAATTTAGATATGGTTTGGTTTAACTGTGAAAATTTTAAATCCTTGTGCAGTAGTCTGTCTCTCACGCTCTCAAAGATGGTCAAGAACGTGAGATATCACAGATAATGAACGAGAAAGAAAATACTTGCTAAACACATTTTGATTCTCCGGAACATTAAAATTAAGAGACTAACTAATATACAATGCAGATATTGAAAACAACTTCTCAACAGTCCTAGAGCTAATTAAGAGTGAAGGCGAAAGGCAAAAAGAAGACAACTAGAAGAAAGAGACAGAACTTGTGGACTAGTCGAGGACATCTTCAATCAGTATCAGTCACTGGGGCGTACCGAACGGTCATCTTACCAGAGTATATATGAGAGGAGCTCATCGTAGAATAAAGAGGGCTTCTTCCCTCTCTTGCGGTAGCTTAGACTCCGAGTACTTTTCTTCAGATGGCACTGAATTTTCAGATTTCAGCCCAAGAATATCACAAAGGGAACGTTATTCCCCATTAGTAGACACTGTTGAAGATCTCGAGACTCAAAATTCATCAGAAACAAATGAATTAGAAGCAAATGAAGTGAGACAGATACGAGCAAAGAATGGTGAGCTTGAAAAAGCACTGTCAGAGTTACATGCGAAACTCAAGAACAATGAGGAACGTGCAATGTCCAAAACTGCAGATTTGATGGCACTAATTGAAGAAAAAGTGAAGCGTTATAGAAATGAAGCATCGAAGCAAAAGAAGGAATTTACTGATAAAATTAATGTCATGCAGCAAAACCTTGAGTCTGCATGCAACAAGAATACCAACTTAGAATCTCAACTAGAAAATCAGAGGGAAAAGTTTCACAATATTTGATTCTTATAAAAAACTTGGAGGAGAATTTGGCTGAAACAGTTTCAACTAAAGAGAATCTGCTAAAAGAGAAGGATGATGAATTGGAATCTCAATGAAGCAAAGAAAGATTTAGAAGAACAGTTAAGAGATGCAATTTGGGAGATAAATGCTTTGCATAACAAGAAATGCGAGTTGAAGTTACAAAATGAACAAAGTCAAAAGGAATGTTCAGAAACGATAAAGAAGCTAACAGAAACAGTTGATCTAACACATCAAGAGAACAAACATTTCAAAACGAATACACAATTGATGGAAAGAAAAATGGAAGAATTGGCAGAAGGAGTTCGACAAAAAATGGAAGACAGTATACGCATATTGCACCGGAGGGTCCATGTGACAGAATTGCTGAATAACGAAAACAAAGACTCTTACAAATCCACAAAGCAAAAGTACGAGGAAGAGAGCAAAATATTTGGTGAAAAAATTGCTGATTATGAAGATGAAATTAGGAGGCTGAGAGAAAAGGTGTTGAAATTAGAAGCTGATATAGGAGCAAGGAAGGAGAAAATATGAATTTGATGAAAACAGTGACACAACTTGAAAGTAAAATGATGAAATTGGAAAAGAAACTGAAAGAGAAAGATGATGAAATACTAGCCTTGGAGAGAATAAGAAGGAAGCAATAAGACAGCTTTGTTTTTTGACCGAGTTTCATCGCGATCGTTGTCTCATTATGAAGGATTTGATATTAAATATGAGAATAAAGAACATGAAGTGAGTTTGTTAAACTTAAAGTGTAAACCTTTTATTCGTAAATTTTACTTTTTAGATTCATTACATAATTAATATATTTTTTGTAGGGTGGAAGTATGTATTTGTATGCTAATGAAACACAAAAATAATCACTAAATATATCACACACATATTGAGGGAGCGATTGAAGTCACTTGCTATACATAAGTTTGTCTTATGTCTTTACGGTGTGGCCCTTCCAGGTTTATTTAAAAGTATTTCTTTTCAAGCCGCAAACATAGAAGCCATTTCGGTAATATATCTCCATAAAAAAACAGGTGTCATCAGACATTTTAATGAAAATAGGTTGAAAAACTTACACTTTCTAATAATTCATACTCATTAGTGCTTCATGGACCATCTGCATAGTGACCGGATTCATGAGCTTGCTGGCCTAATCACCCATTAAGAGGGGATAGGTTGGAGGAGAATGCACTATTTTTTCATAAGGCAGTGTAATCACTACTATAAATAATATATTTTATAAAATTTTCATTTCAGCTAATGAAAATTCGAGGTCAAATGATTTTAAACGCGTTATTTTACTTACTTTTTTTATGTTTAATATTATTCCTCAATTTTATAGAAAACCGATAGAAAATATAGCATAAAGTTTGAGCTTCGATTCTTAACTCATACAAATTTATGTTTTATTTAAAACCGAAATTTCACCTTTATTTTATAAATCATCTTATCCCTCAGTTTTGTAAAAAAAAAAAAAGAGCTAAAATATTGATTAATATTTTATTAATTAAATTGAACACAATATTTACGCATGACAATAGAATTCTTTTCTTCATTTAAATAAATAAAATTAGTATTTTGAAATAATATAAAACAAAGGTGAGAAAACATATAAAATGGTCTTAAACCTTTCTTTTCAACATTAAAAGCATTAAAAGAAAAGTTCTTCACTTTGATACTGATGACTTCATTATTTTTGCATTTGGGTAATGTACTGATTATGAACCAAATATGGAATCATAGCTTACTTTGTGTACTATAATTGAACTTTTCGGCAGTGTTTGAACACAATGCAAAAGGAATCTATACCTCATGTCATGCTTGCCTTCCTTTTTTATAAACAAAAATGTTCACGTTTTGCCTCTTTTAAAATTGTTTTCCAGTTTCTCTAGAAAACACAAATTGGGAAGCCAAATAAAATTCACTTAAACAGAGTTCCACTTCCAGGTATTCAGATTAGTAGCCAAAAATAACCACGCATTTACATTACTCTTTTTAGTAATCTTTCATGGCAAATTGGCAATGAACATGCATCCTCAGCCCATTTTTTGCACAGTTGCATATATGCCCTTTGGTAACCCCTTCCCGGCACACACTAGGACCCCATTTCTTTTGCAATCTCACCCGCCTTATGTACCAGCTTCATCATGCCAACCAAGTGCATCATCTCCTTATTTCTCACACGCAGAGTCGGAGCCCAACCCGACACCCACATTGTACCTCCTCCCTCCTTGCTAGACAACAAAAAACTTCTACAACCTCATGCAACCTCATGCAAAGCCCCCTAAGTCTGCTATCGAGTAGCCATTACACATCTTCTACTCTACGGTCTCCTGCATTTCACAGCACACTACTACTACTACTATTACTACTACTGCCAGCATTCACGCATCCCCCGCTCCTGCTCACTATTTTTTCTACGGCAATAGTTTCGGGAGAGAGAATTGGTGGTCTTAGTGATGATCAGAAGGAAAAGGATGAGAGATGGGGAAAGGAGGGAGGAAATAACTGCAACAATGGTCATCTTAGCTAAAATATTTATGGTGTATAAGTAGACTTGCAATCTTTTCATAGAAAAACTAAAACTGAATCTCTACTTATTAGAGTATGTCATCCTAACTAACTTAGTTAGTTAGAGTGTGCTGTAGGATAAGAAAGTAGTGGCACAGGATTAGATGCAATTTAATTCCAAATTATCAAAATGATTATTGTATCAGTTGGAAAATTTTAAAAAATAATTGGGACAAACTAAAAATCCACTGTATCTGTTTGCAAAAGACAATTCAGGGTGCTTATATACTCTTTTCTCTAAACACAATAACATTAAAACTTGTTATTTCTCAACAATGAAAGAACACTTTTATAATCTTATATCTAATTCTAAACATAGATGATAATAATGTTATCTTTTTACTTCTCATTTTGTCAAATTTAATTCATATCTGATTTTGGATCCTATAAAAATTGTATTGTGACACCACTTAAAAGAAAAATAAACAAAACAAAGAAACCAACTCTGAATTCAAACTGTTGGTGGTAAAGCATAGTTCTAGTTTAGTTCCTATTTGGTCCAACCCTACATTCCTTTCGATGCTATACTTTAGACAAACAAAGCCAAGTCTCAGTCTGAAGAACGGTCAACATACAAATACGCCATATTTACACGAGAAAACCCTTTACAGACAAGCTATCCTCTAATCATTCATCGGATAGACTACTAGAGTCTATGTTAGGATTTTGAGCAGACCTGTCATCTGCAACTCTTTTTGGGATGTTGGGCATCAATGTGGTTCCACCACAATAACCAGCCATCAACAACTTCCCAATTTTAGTACGCCACTCAGAAGTGTCCGTGTTCTTCCTATCATGCACAACTCTGTCGCGGTAATTAAGCATGGTTCCAAGGCCAGTGTTTGGGATCCAGCCATATCCCTTTAACACCTCTGCCTCACCTTCTGCCAAATCTTCTCCAACCTATTCCGAAGACAGCAAGAACTGAGCAGATCAAATTTCTTTTCTAAGGTGGGGTAGAAAGCAGTGACAAGAGGCAGTTATACAGTGGATCTAAGAACCCTTGTAGAAAAGCGAGTATGAAATGAAAGATAGAGGGAAAAAACAATAAGTAGAAAAGAAAAGGTTGGTCAATTAAAAATAAAAACAGTAACTAGCGCCATCTCATACTGCATCTCCCTTTTTTAGACTGTATGTTGGTTATTAATTTTCGAAGCTGAAATTCTAAGGATCCTTCAATAGAGCTCAGGCTTTCATGGCTGAACATGCTAACTTAATTATAACAAGCAAATCTAGACAAACCAGTAAACCACTATCAGGCTTCAGACACCATGTTCAGCCTCTAAAAAACCGACATCAAAATTATTTGTTTCAACCTACTGCACTTGACTCTAATCTCTTGGGAAAAAAACCTAACAAATGTCTCATGATTAGTAAAACAATTAAAACCTAACAGATGCTTGAGTCAGTTAATTAAGCAAACAAAAATAAAAGAGAGAATGCTAATAACCAGCAATAGGCATTGGATAGAAATTAGTCATCCAGAAAAGATAGATTCAACAACTAATCCACTAAAATATAAAGATTGTTCAGGTTTAACGATTCAACTTCTCATTAATCACTATCTAACAAACATCTTAAGATAATTTCAGAGCTAACATTTCTATCAATAGTGACATTTTTTTCTAAAATATTTTTTGTTGAATAGTTGGGTGGCTAACATTTCTTTAAGCCACGTGTTATTGACTTATTGTTATATCTGAAGTTCCATTATTTCTCCCTCACACCCATCAACCAGTCACGTGACATCCCGGTTGTTGTAGAAAAGCTATTAGGAGGAAAGTTTAATATTACATTATAGTTAAATATTAAAAGAAGTCTAACTAGCCACTTCTTATTTTTGGATAGCAAGATATAGATTCAATTACCGTTAATTCTTTGTTTTCAATAATGGAAATCCTGCTACATGTAGTCAGCTTCATAGCAACCACCAACCGCTTGATCTGCCATTCAACAGGTAAGCCTGATAACAGTTCAAAGAAGTAGGTTGCATAGCCATATTCAGGACGTTCCAGCACTATCCTACATTGAAGTCCAATTCAATATCAACATCATGGACAAAATAACACAGAAAACATGGACTCGAAAAGATTAAACTCAATGCATATCAAGCACCTGTTATGCCTGTGAAAAACAAAAATAAATGATTGGAGATCTCGACACCAACCCCACTCCACAGGCCGCTTTTGAAGCTTCAAATGTCTTGTCTGTAGCATAAATAAAACAGGAATAAGTATAGTACCAAAACATAGTATGGACACTGAGTTTGTAAGAAACCAAATACCTGCTCCACTAATGAGATTAGAGAAGCCAAGCAATAACTCTCTCTTGGACCCTTTGCAGCACGAATAACAGGGAATTTAATGAAAGAGTTGCGTTGAGAGAAAATCTGCTTCCAAACAAGAGGAAATTATATAAATCAAAAGCAATAGAGAAAACCCACCAAATGACTACGAGAAAAATATTCCATCATCAATACTAGATAAAATTGAGGCCTGCTTTACCAAAATATTTTATGATTTATTAATAAATAGTTTTTAGAACCAGTAAAAGTACAGCTCATCAGAAAGCTCAATCATATTTATAATCATAAAACCAGGAAACTGGAAAGATATGCCATTCCCGGTGCAAGTGACTTGCTTCTTTTTGAGCCTTCTATAAAGGTGGTAATTGTGACTTTGAATCATCTAGCTAAAATGCTATTTTACTTCCATTTGTTTTCTTTCTGGAAATACAGGAAAACAAAGGACAGACCTGTTCCCTAATGTTATGTTTATTATAAATGGTTTAGGAAAGAAAGAAAAAACGGGGGTGAGATATAGCGGAGAAGGATTTTAAGTCATTTGGTTTATATAATAGAAATGTGGAAGAGATAAAGCCTGCCTGTAGGCCCCACTTCTTTTAAGGGACAAACTTCAAGTCTTTAACAAAGCATCTCTGCAGTAAGATGACCCTGGATTTGAAGGGGAAATAATAAAGTAATGGCTAAACTTAATAGACTAATGGCTAAACTAACTCTCAGAATTTGCGTTGGGCCTAATACATCCCTGCAAAACCGATTTCTAAGGTGAGGATTGGCCCCACTTATAAACTCAACACGGGTCATACCTCTAAGCAATGTGGGACTAAATTCACCCCCTTCAAACCCAACACAATGAAGGTGTTGGGACTGCAATAAAGGCTAGCCAAAGTGCCAATTAAGGCGACTAGGGGCGGACGGCAATTAAGGCAGAAATTCCAACGCACCCCCTCACGCTTGGGTCTCAATGAGCCCAAAGCATGGACGTTTAGGGAAACCCAACAATGGATTTAGGATAGACTCTGATACCATCTCAGAATTTGCGTTGGGCTTAACTCATCCCTACAATGAAGGTGTTGGGGCTGCAATGAAGGCTAGCCAAAGTGCTGCAATTAAGGCGACTAGGGGCGGACGGCAATTAAGGCGGAAATTCCAACGCACCCCCTCACGCTTGGGTCTTAATGATACCATCTCAGAATTTGCGTTGGGCCTAACTCATCCCTACAAAACCGGCTTGTAAGGTGAAGATTGTCCCCACTTATAAACTCAACAGAGGTCATATCTCTAAGCAATGTGGGACTAAATCTACACTTCAAACCCAACACAATGAAGGTGTTGGGGGCTGCAATGAAGGCTAGCCAAAACTAACTTCCTCGTTTAAGAAATCTAAAACAGAAAAAGAAATCTACTCTCCCTCTACTTCTCTCAGTTTTCATTTCTCTAACAGTTTCTATTATGTGTATCAGCGGAGATTGACTGGAGACTAGAGGACCTTTTTTTCTTTCCGTACTTACCCACATCTCTTCACTTTTCCAGTTTTCCCTATCCCTAAACTAATTGCACAACTCGCTTCTGCCATAACCAAGAACTTCAACCCACATAAACCTCCTTGCATGTAACAAGCCTAAGCTGCAGCTTTAAGGTTTAACCACTCTCGACCTTCCTCACCTCTTTTGTTCTTCTCGCTCACCGTTTACTTTTCCAGTTATCTGTATCCATAAACTAACTGCAGAACTCGCTTCTGCCATAACCAAGAACTTCAACCCACATAAACTCTTGGTGTAACAATCCCAAGTTGCCTGTAAGTTTTAACTACTCTCAACCTTCCTCACTTGTTTTGTTCTTATCGCTCACCGTTTTGTATGTCGTGTCTCCATGTATCAACAAAGAAGGGGCGAGGATGCGACAGTTGAAGGCCAATAAGAAGAATAAAAAGACATTGGATGAAGATTATGAAAACATAAATGACATGGAGAGGGGAGGGGAGTGCAATGTCACAAATAAATTAAATTAGCTAAATAATTTTGTATCAATTGAGTTAATTTGAACAACCTATTTATTTGAATAAAATTAATGGATGGAAACTATTTGTATATATTTCCTGCTGTTCGTAATTAGTATGGAGGGAAATTCTAAAGAGGATATATGTTATGTAAACAACTTTACCCCCACAAGTGGAGAACCTGTGATCCAAGATTTGCACTTGAAGGTCACATGGCAGCAAACTTACAATTGCACCAAGGATGGCGATGGATCGCCCTCTTGATATTTAGAAATGAATTGAGAAGCCAAAAATTTAAGATGGTATGACTATCTTATTGTTATGTTAGATAGTTAATGGTTATAATATCCTTACTGTTGAGTTAGTTTGGTCCTGAAATCAAATGAAAAGGCAGATTATTTAGGAAGCTATTACAATTATTTTCATATTTTTCACCTTTGTTATCACAGCTTCAAACTCTGAAAAGCTATCTTGGCAAAGTGATTCATCCAGAGCTTCATCATTCTCTGTCTCTCCATAAAGCTTAATTTCATCTACTAATACACCTTCGCCTAGCAATGCCTGCCAAATGCAAAATCCATGAAACTCAATATAAATTCCAATTTCAAAGTGGCTGTACACAAACAAAAATACCTCCAAAAGGCCAGGGGCATCCTCCTGA